ATTACCAATACTATTTTGTGGGGGGGGGGGGGTCCTTACTATAGTTACAGTATAGTGGGCCCCAAAACCCTGTTCTAATTATTAAGGCCCCTAAACCCTAAACCCTTATAGTAACCCGTATAGAACCCTTTAAGGAACCCTTTAATGGACCCCAAAACCCTATTCTAATTATTAAGGCCCCTAAAATAGGCCGCCCCTCCTCAGGCTCGCGGTCGCCTTCTTCCGAGCCCTTGGAACCGTAGTCGTTGAATCTGGCACTCCCCAACCCCCTGGTGTAGGGTTTAGGGTTTAGGGTATTTCAGGTATTTAGGGTTTGGGGCATTTAGGGTATTTCGGGTTTAGGGTTTAGGGTATTTATGGTTTAGGGTTTAGGGTTTTACTCCTCGCAGGCAAAGTTTGCCGCAGCGTCGTTCTGCGATCCGCAGCCCTACCCTCCTATGCGCGGTTTGCTGTTCTCAAAGCCGAGTGGAAATACCCTAAACCCTAAACCCTAAACCCTAAACCCCTAAACCCTAAACCCTAAACCCTAAACCCCTAAACCCTAAACCCCTAAACCCTAAACCTAAAGTCTTCATCCCGCAACTGGACCAGGAGAGCCCAACACTTGGAACCATTTCGCAGCTGCCAGGCCCACATCAAGAAGCTGAAGCCCTATGTGCCTCCACTTGAAGGACGTAACCCCAAGAAATTCGTGGCGGCCTCAGACGAAGGTCGCAGTTCTCAGGACGCGCTAGGTACTCAGCCGACCCTAACACCCTCAACCCAAACCCGAAGCCCTAAACCTTAAACCCCTAAACCCTAAACCCTAAACCCAAAACCCTAAACCCTAAACCCTAAACCCTAAACCCTAAACCCCTAAACCCTAAACCCCAAAAGCGACCCAAAGTTCCTCAAGCCTTAACTTTCGTGGTTCCGACTCGCCGAAAGGAGCCCTTCGTTTTGGGACGCCGCTTTGCCCTTTCAGGGTTTAGGGTCTAGGCCCTCAACCCTAAACCCTAAGCCCCAAAACCAAACTTGAGGGTTTAAGGTCGATTCCCACCCGCAGCTTTACAGCCTGAGCTTGAGACCCTGGGACCCCAAAGCCACAGGAGCCCTGAAACCCAGAAGCCCCAAGCACCCAGAGCGCTAAGACAGACGTCGGAATGATTGATGATACTCTTCCCTGCGCTCATTATCACCTTTCTAGTCTAATATACCGTATACTAAACCCTAAACTCTAAAAACCCGAAACCCTAAAAGCCCTAAAAGCCCTAAACTATCCCTCCAATCCTTAGCCTCCAGGCCCAGAGCCTTCAAAACCCGAAGCCCTAGAAGCCCACCTTGAGTGCGCCGAGACACTTCTGGACTTCAACGAGCGCACTGCGGAGGTGCCAGAGTTCGTGAAGGAGGCCCTTTGGTGGGCTATATGAACCCTAAACCCTAAACCCCTAAACCCTAAAACCTTTAGGGTTTAGGGTTTAGGTTTTAGGGTTTAGGGTAGTTCTCTGAAGTTCGGGTCCCTTTTCGGGTCCCCAACATAGTACGGCACCCCTCTAAAAAAGGAACCCCTTTGGGGGGATCCTCATTTAGAGGACTGCCCATCAAGGGTTTTAGGGTGCAGAGTTCCAGGGCTTGGAGTGGCAGTAGCTGTAGCTGTAGCTGTAGTTGTAGTGTTGTTGTCTGTGGCGGAGGAGTTTAGGATCTGGGTCCTAAACCCTAAACCCTAAACCCCTAAACCCCAAACCCTAAACCCCAAACCCTAAACCCTAGACCCCAAACCCTAAACCCTAAACCCTAAACCCTAAACCGGGATTTGGGGTTGATTCAAGGGGTCTTTGGGTTTGGAGTTTGGGGTTTCGGGTTCCGGCTTTTAGGGTTTCACGGTTAAGAATGTCGGATCTTGGGTTCAGGGTTGTTTGGGTTTAGAGTCTAGGACTTGGGGTTTGGGGTTTCAGGGTTTAGAGTTTCGGGCTGTGGAGTTTAGGACTTTCTGTTCAGGGTTTTAGGGTGTACAGTTTGGGACTTTTTGTTCAGGGCTTTAGGGTTTAGGGTTCAGGAAGTATTGTTCAGGGCTTTAAGTTTAGAGAGTTTTGGGTTTGGTGTTTTAGGATTTGGGGGGCTGAGGGTTTTAGGGTGGGCTTCCTATTGACGAAATGTGCCATGGAAAGGTTCACGGTTCAATTACTTGACGAATCCGTACAAGGGTCTGGGGGCCTTGCTTTTAAGCATAATTTGGTCGTTGGCGGTTTTAAAGCAGCAGTCTTGATGGTTTGGGGCTTATTAGGGCCTAGGGTAAGAGCCTTAAGCCCTAAACCCGAAAGCCCTAAAACCCTAAAACCTTAAAGCCCTAAAGCCCTAAAGCCCTAAAACCCGAAGGCCCTAAAACCCCAAAGCCTTAAACCTGCTTAGGGTAAGAGTCTCGGACTCTACCGGAGAGCCTCTGGGATTCCTCTTGGGGGCTGTAGGGATTAGGGAGACCGGGGCTTCGAACTTCCAGTCGCCAGCTTGATACCGCCTTAGCTTCGGATATCGGGTGTTTGGGTTTAGGGTTTAGGGTTTAGGGTTTAAGGCGTAGGGTTTAGGCCGTTTAGGGTTTAGGGTTTAGTTTTCAGGTGGGTGGTTGCCGTTATAGGAGCCTTATGGAAGGTCTATATACCTTACTATAGAAGCCTTATAGAAGCCCTATATACCCTAAACTCCCCACCTGTAGTTTCCTTTAATTTAGGGTTTAGGGTGGGTTGCAGTTGGGCACCCAGCCACGCGGTTTGATGAATTTGGACGTAATGGGATTCCTTGGAGATCTGGAGACACGAGTGACACGAGCCCCCAAACCGCCAAACGACGGACAGTGATCGATCTTCGCACGGCTTTGTGTCCGATGTGAAACTAACGGAGAAGACAAGCACCCATCGTGAAGGCAATGCATCAACAGGAACGCGTCGGCCACGCCAATGATCGGAGCAAGTGGGGTTTGAACTCTGAAGCCCTAAGCCCAAAACTTGAGCGTTGCAAAAGGCCTAGATCCGCGACTTGCCAAGCAGCCCTGACCAATCTCCGGTCGCAGACTTTGAGAAGCATGGCTCCGAATGCGCGCAGCCTACCAAAACCCCTGATGAAACCGCTGCACCACTTCCAAGACCCTACCTACAAAATGCTTTTGAAATGCCGTCCAAGAACCCTAAACCCTAAACCCTAAACCCTAAAACCCCTAAAGCCCTAAAGCCCTAAAGCCCTAAAACCCTAAACCCGGAGAGCCCTGCCCTTCAGCTCGGGAAGCTGGCAGGCCATGAAGGAGTTCATTGACAACGGGGGGCAGCGCCTGCCTGCTTCGCTATGGGCTGATTCAGCAGTCAGGGTCAAGGATTTGGGGGTGAAGATTTACAGTATGCTTTAGGATCTTTAGGGTTTAGGGTTTACGGCTTTAGGAGTGTGTGTTCAGGCTTATTTAAGCTGCTTTAATTATTAATTCGGATGGCAGATGTCGGGTTGGGGTTTGCATCTGTTCAGGGCGGCTGTGCTTAGTGCAGACTCCAGCGAAGGCACCATCAGCCGCAGCAGCGACAGCATCACCATCGTCCTCGTCATCGTCATCGTCATCGTCATCGTCGTCATCGTCATCCTCGTCGTCCTCGTCGTCCTCGTCGTCCTCGTCGCCATCATCATCTTGTTCATCATCATCATCATCATCATCATCGTCAACCAACATCATCATCGTTATCATCATCATCATCATCATCATCGTCGTCGTCATGATCATCGTCATCATCATCATCATCATTGTCGTCATCCTCATTCTCATCCTCCTCCTCCTCCTCATCCTCCTCCTCCTCATCATCACCATCACCATCACCATCACCATGGTCATCACCATCATCATCATCGTCTTCATCATCATCCTCCTTATCATCATCGCCGTCTCTATCATCATCGTCGTCGTCGTCATCATCATCATCATCATCGCCATCACCATCGTCATCATTATCATTATCACCACCATCATTGTCGTCATCATCATCGTCATCCTCATCCTCATCCTCATCCTCATCCTGATCCTCATCCTCCTCCTCCTCCTCCTCATCATCATCGTCTTCCTCGTCCTCATCCTCCTCATCATCATCGCCGTCTCTATCATCATCGTCGTCGTCGTCGTCATCATCATCATCATCATCATCATCGCCATCACCAACGTCATCATTATCATTATCACCATCGCCGTCATCATCACCATCATCCTCGTCGTCGACGTCGTGATCATCATCGTCTCCTGCGATATTACACGTTTTCCTGATGCAGTGCCAGATTTCAAGTTGCTTTTCCAGCCTCCTGACGCCATGCCAACTTTAATCCTAAACCCTAAACCCTAAATCCTAAACTTTTATACATAGCCCGGGCTGTAGTCCCAAGCGCTGACCGGGACTAGGTAAATCCTATGATAATCCCGCTCAGCATCTGCATATCGGGTTTAGCGTCCCTGTAGAGAGGAGGGTGCCTTGCTGTATTTGAGGTCTAGAAATGAAAAGGGACCCTCATTTAGAGAACTGCCCATATACTTCCCTATCCCATGTCTTGGGTCCTCTATGGTAACACGGTCCTCTATGGTAACCCGATATTGAAGCCCTTCAACACACAAAACCCTAATCCCAAGCCCTGAACTCTACATAGCTCTCCAGTACAGCCCCTTGTTTAATCATAGTAAAATATTATCCCCCTCCCCGTCACGAAAAATGCTAGATATTCAGGTCCCTGTATTATCCGATGGCAGGCTGCAGAAATACCCGTCTTACGGCGGTTTGCAGGCCAAGTGCCTGAAGACTCGGGGGTCCCTGAGGGGGATTTAGGGTTTCGGATGAAGTTTTCGAGGAAGTTTTTTGGGGTTTGGGTTGCAAGAGCTTAGACTTTTCATATCCTTTTTTTGGACATAGGGTTCAGAAAGGTTCTCTGAGAGGTATGGCAGGGTTTTATAGGGTTTTTTGGGGTCCAGAGTTTGCAATTTGGGGTTTCGGGTTCGGCGATTTAGTGGAGCTTGGGGTTTCGAATTTCAGCTACATGCATGGTTTTTGGAACAAACCAGAGGTTGCGGTTTGGGTTGAAGTTGAGGTGTCACGCCGTATTTATTTTTATTTTTGTTGGGATTTAGGGCTTCGGACGGGTTCGCAAGTCCGGGCATTATGTAGGGACCTGAATAATTCGAATAGGGTTTGGGGTCTATTCTGCTATAACTCTAGTAGGGAACCCCCAAAACCCTATTCTTATTTAAGGCCCCCTAAACCCTGAACCCTAAACCCTAAACCCTAAACCCTACCAAACCCTAAACCCTAAACCCTCAACCCTAAACCCAATTAAACCCTAAACCCTAAACCGCGCTACGTGGGAGGCCGACATCGCAGCGTATGCCGGGGTGAAACCGGAGGAGGTCATGTTCACAAACGGCCTCGGCCCTGAGAGTTCGGGTCTAGGGTTTAGGATTTTCGGGTTTTAGGGTTTTAAGGTTTTAGGGTTTAGGGGTTTAGGGTTTAGGGGTTTAGGGTTTAGGGTTTAGGGTTGAGGGGGGGAGAGGTGTTTGTTTGCGAGTAGTCGTTGATGGCTTTTGGAGTCTTCAACATGCTGTTCTTGCATGTTTTTGTGTACAGGTTTGGATTGGTTCGGAATGGTCAAAAAGCCCTTTTAGAATTTTTCCGGGACCGAGTACACAAGCGCGGATAATTACGAATACTAGTCTGCAGGGTTCCTTATGCAGCACTTGCTCAGTTTCGCGAGGCCGGCACCCAAACTCATTGAAATTATGCAGGCTCATGCGGCATGTTACATGGCTTCTGCAGTCTGACCGAACAACTTTACCTCATACCGGTCTCCTAGCCATTTCTGTGAAACGTGTATGCACATCACAACTGACCAAGAGCCTCTAGCCATGTCCCTGCGTCGTTCGCTCATGCGAACTCTCAGGGCTTTTAGTGCTCCAGGGTCCAAGGGTTTATGAATTTTAGTGTGTAGGGTTTTGAGTTTTCAGGGTTTTGCTAATGTGGAGTTAACCCTAAACTCCCCTAAACCCTAAACCCTGAACCCTAAACCATCCGGGTTCTTGGCTTCGGGCACGGAGCCTCACGGCACTACTGCACCTCACGCAATGATAATGACAGGGGGATCCTTCCTCGGCTCAGTTTGAAGGTCTGCTCCCAAGCGGGCTTTTGGGTGTTTGGGCTCTAAACCTTAACACCCACACCCTGAATCCCATGCCCTACCCCCTAAACCCTAGACCCTAAATCTAAACCCTGAACCCTAAGCCC